GTTATGGAATATTAGATCTATTAAATAGAGTAGGTCAATAAAATTAAACATAAAAACCAGTATGGCAAAATTATTTTATGTCCCCACTGCTGGGGTACAGGCCTTTCCGATGGATGGAATAGTGAGATTGGGCCACGACCCACCACGCGGACCCAGTGCGGATTGGTGGGTACTAACGACTGCAGATGCAGCCAGGACCAACGGCTTAACGTACCTTCCGAAGCACGGAGGAGCTCGAGATAGTAAATTTTTGGTCACCCATCCAATGACCGACCACTGCGAAAGTTGCTTAGCATCAATGATCGCAGCCGAACGCGCTAAACACTTAACAAGTAGGATTCCAGGTATTTTTTCGGTTTCTTCCGGGTTATGACATATGAGCGTAAGTATCTCGCATTATTTGGTGCCAAAAACTGTAAGGACAGCAAAATTTTCTTATTAAATAAAAGCAAAACATTGTGATATCTAAAAAGTTCAAACTATCTTTATATATAAAACTCAAAGGTGACTGACTGACTGACATAGTGATCTATCAACGCACAGCACAAACCGCTGGACGGATCGGGCTAAAATTTGGCATGCAGGTAGATGTTATGACGTAAGCATCCGCTAAGAAAAGATTTTGATCAATTACACCCCCAAGGGGATAAAATAGGGAATGAAACTTTGTCAATTTTAAACCGATCGGACTGAGACTTTGCATGCAGGTATAAGAAATATGAAATATATTTTATTGGAACAAAAATAGTGAATACAATAAATGTGTACGATAATAATTGCATTAGTTATAAAAACTGGCCGTGTGTGTGCCGGCCTAGAATAGCACCACCCCTCTCGTCCCGTGGGTGTCGTAAAAGGCGACTAAGGGAACACAGCCAGCAGAAGACGGGCAGCAGCGTCTTGTTACAATATCTTGGCTGTACTGCGATCGCCAACCCGCCTGCCAAGCGTGGCGATTATGGCAAAACCCCCCCAAGAAATGAGTAGCACAATTAAAGATTGGCCCCCAGTCCCCGGCAGCCCTGCTATTCCTAGCCACGGTAGCAGCTATGGTAACGGCGGGGCAAGGGGTGCTAAGAATCCCCGGGTAAGATCCGGCTACCACCTACGACGACTCGACCTGGCAACCTACAACACGCGCACACTGAGGACCGACGCTAAGCTAATAGAGTTGGAAGAAGCTATTAGTAAGTTACGTTGGGATATTATTGGATTATCTGAAGTCCGAAGAGAGGGAGAGGACTCGATAATCCTCAATTCCGGTAACTTGCTATACTACCGGGAGGGCGATCAACAGTCCCTAGGCGGTGTCGGGTTTATCGTCCACAAGTCCCTTGTCCACAACGTCATCACCATCGGAAGTGTGTCGACCAGGGTAGCATACCTGATACTCAGAATATCTAAACGATATTCGTTGAATGTCATTCAGGTTTATGCGCCGACCTCGACTTTATCATGTCGACGAAAAAGCTAATATTCAATGATGTCTCTGTGATTAACGCCGTTAAAACGGGAAGTGATCACCGGTTAGTACGAGGCACATTGAATATCAACATAAAGCTCGAAAGATCTCGAATGATGAAGTCGACGCTCCGACCAATACCTGCACAACTACAGAACCCCGAGAGCTTTCAACTCGAGCTTCAAAACCGCTTCGAATCCCTTGAGAACAGTCTAGATGTGGACGATCTAAACAACACGGTGGTAGATACTGTCCGTACGGTAGGGTCCAAGTATTTTAAAGCCCACCGTACCAAAATTAAGAAACTCTCTGACAAAACTCTCCTACTCATGGAACAGCGGAACGAAATGAGACTACAGAATTCAGGAGATGCAAGTCAGTACCGGCAGCTAAATAGACAGATATCACAGTCCTTGACGAGCGATCTTCGCCGATTTAATACACATTGTATCAAAGAGGCTATCGAGCGCAACAAAGGCTCCAAAGTGTTCGCGAGAGATCTGTCTATTGGGCAAAGCCAATTGACAAAGCAGAAGACTGACAGCGGTAGCATCATTTCGTCTAAGGCTGAAATCCTGAGGGAGATTGAGAGTTTCTATGGACAGCTATATTCCACGCAAGCACCTGTTGAAAGCAAGGCTAGAGACCCCAGAGCCAAGCTTACTCGACACTACACTGAAGATATCCCGGACGTCAGCCTATATGAGATTAGTATGGCTCTCAATCAACTTAAAAACAACAAGGCGGCGGGCGATAATGGAATCACAGCAGAACTTCTGAGAGCGGGCGGTAAGCCGATACTTAAAGTCCTCCAGAGGCTTTTCAACTCCACCATCCTTGAAGGCAGAACGCCAAAAGCATGGGCCAGAAGTGGGGTTGTCCTGTTCTTCAAGAAAGGTGACAAAGCACTCTTGAAAAACTATCGACCAATCTCGCTTCTTAGCCATGTTTATAAGTTGTTTTCGAGAGTCATTACGAATCGTCTCGCACGCAGGTTTGACGACTTCCAACCTCCCGAACAAGCCGGTTTCCGCAAAGGCTTCAGTACCATAGACCACATTCATACGCTACGGCAGGTTATACAGAAGACCGAAGAGTATAATCTGCCATTTTGTTTGGCGTTCGTGGACTATGAGAAAGCTTTCGATTCGATTGAGACCTGGGCGGTGTTACAGTCTCTCCAAAGGTGCCAAGTAGACTACAGGTATGTCGAGGTATTAAGGTACCTCTACGAAAACGCCACTATGTCAGTCCGATTACAGAACCAGAGCTCCAATCCTATCCAATTGAAGCGAGGCGTGAGACAGGGAGATGTGATATCTCCGAAACTGTTCACAGCTGCATTGGAGGATATTTTTAAGCTTCTGGATTGGAAAGGACGAGGCATTAACATCAATGGCGAGTACCTTTCGCACCTTCGTTTCGCCGATGATGTAGTTCTTATGGCTGAGACCTTGGAAGATCTTAACACGATGCTCGAAGATCTTAGTAGTGCTTCCCAAAAAGTGGGTCTTAAGATGAACATGGAGAAGACGAAAATTATGTCGAATGCCCATGTAGTACCCGCTCCAGTCAAAATTGGGAACACTACACTCGAAGTTGTCGACTGTTACGTCTACCTAGGACAGACAGTCCAGTTAGGTAGGTCCAACTTTGAGAAAGAGATCTCTCGTCGTATCCAGCTCGGATGGGCAGCGTTCGGGAAGCTACGAAAAATATTCGCGTCCAAATTACCTCAGTGTCTCAAGACAAAAGTCTTTGACCAGTGTGTGTTGCCAGTGATGACCTACGGAAGCGAGACGTGGTCCTTTACTGCGGGTCTCATAAGAAGGCTCAAGGTCACGCAGCGAACAATGGAGAGAGCGATGCTTGGTGTTTCCCTACGCGATAGAATCAGAAATGAGGAAATCCGTAGGAGAACCAAAATTACCGATATCGCTCAAACGATGGCTCTGCTGAAGTGGCAGTGGGCGGGACACGTAGCAAGAAGAACCGATGGCCGTTGGGGCGGAAAGGTTCTAGAATGGCGACCACGCACCGGAGGACGCTCTGTGGGTAGGCCCCCCACAAGGTGGACCGACGATCTTGTGAAGGTCGCGGGAAGCCGATGGATGCGAGTGGCGCAGGACCGATCGGTGTGGAGATCCTTGGGGGAGGCCTATGCTCAGCAGTGGGCGTCATACGGCTGACATGATGATGATGATGATGATGATGATAAAAACTGTGTCGCAACTATTATCGCCCACCTCTGAGAGTACATTGGAGTTCCTTACATATAACTAACTAAACTAACAATAAATATTATGAATGATTTAAATTTAATTTAACGTACTTAAATTAACAAATCATTTAAATGCATTTTATGCGTGTGCGCATGGGTATGTGTGTGTGTATGTGTGTGTGTGTGTGTGTGTGTGTGTGTGAGAGAGAGTGTGAGTGTGATTGTGTGTGATTGTGGGTGTGCAGCTTAATGGAATAAGCTGAGGTTATCCTACGTTACTATCTACTCAGAAAGTCTTCTATCTGCTCATATGTAAGCGTATATAGCCAATTGTCAACCAAAGCTTTACATTCTCTTGAAGAAAGCCTGTAAATGTCAACAACTCTATTTACCTTGTTATACAATTTTGGGCTCAGGAATCTATACTGTCGACTCACCACACCAAGGCAAGGCTACAGGTCTCTAACTTGCACACTCTATCAGACCGACGTATTTGTTTTGTCAGGTTAGGGTCATACACCAGGGTAGCATGTTTACGCAGGACAGTATTTAACACAAAAGAGTGTCTAACCCTTGGTAAATTACAAATAGCGTACAAAGTATTTGTCGGGAAATAAAGGGGCTTACGGGACATAACTTTTAGTACAGCTCTTTGAGCTCTTTCCAATCGAAGAAAGAAACTGTTACCAGCATTGCCCCAAGCGGTAATGCAGTATGTTAAGATAAAGTGTACTAAGGCAAAACAGACGACCTTTAGTATACTGAAATCGGCGGAAGCTCGTAAATTTCTGAACACAAAAATTAGTTTTCTAACCCTTGAGACGAGGGAATCGACCTGATTATTCCAAGACAAAGTGCTATCTATTAACACGCCAAGGTATTTTATGTTATGTGTTCTAGTAATATTAGGACAGTCACAGACATAGTCCATTGTCCTGTTATATCTGTGTGCAATTATTTCAAAGGAGGAATCCGGCTGGGATGCAACTCTGGGAGCAAAAGTAATATATTTGGTTTTCTGGGTGTTAAGGGTAAGCAAATTTGAATTTAGCCACTTCAGAACTATGTTCAGAGCAGCTTCCGCGCATGAACGCGAAGAAGAAGAATCATAGATGAATGTCATTGTGTATAATACAAGCCTGAGAACAAAAACTGTAGTCTACACTTCAGCTCTACACCGAAGCGAAACGAGGGCGGGCCGCTAGGCCCTTCTTATATAACAATAACGGAATTATGTCAACACAAAAATTACATAAATAAAAATATCCTACAGCTTCTAAAAATTTTCATGTAAAATTAGATAAGACAGACAGTCACCTGTATTTGGCCGTGGATATAGTGTTGGAGAGGAACTTCTGCGGTTGCGGGTGGTTGATGAAGATGATGCGGTTCTGCTGGTCGCCGACCGCGCCGTCGGTCAGGCCCGATGTCGTCGCCTCGTCCTCATCTGTGAACGGGAAGAAAATAATACGTTACTGTATAATGCGATTCAAATAAGAATAGGAAAGCCAATGACCTCCATCTGTCAAATGTGGCTTGTAAAGTACGGTTTGCAAAAAAATCTCGGAAATTAGAATTTAGCTCTCGGCTGATTCTAGAATAAAAACCAAACATTTTTAATCAAACAATAACAAATGTTGATAATTGATATTCAATTTTTTTTTTCATTTATTGAGCTTTGGCTATGAATGGTTGATAACCTTTATAAGATTTGTGATACTGTTAAGATACACTGTATGTAATTATTTTGTCATTTTCACAATTCGGTTTTGCAAACTAAATAAAAAAAACCCTAAATCGTCAACCAAATGTCACTTTATTTAGCGTTCAGAAACTCGATTTAAAACTTTCGTTTACATAAAGGATGCATGTTCGTATGTGACCTGCATGATTATTCATCATAACTTCTCCGGCGGCAATGCAGAGATGAGCGAAATTGAAGAGCTAGATTCTGATTAATGTTTTTTTTCACACAATATAAAATAAATAAAGAAATACTATTAAAAATCGGTTGTGTTCTTTCTCAACCTTAGTAAATTAATTTTATTAAAAAAATCTGATGTTTTGTCTAACTTAATCTTAGTAAATAAGTTTTATTAAATAGCTACATTTTTTTTGCTCACTCTACCTATTTCGTTTGAATTGACAGATATGACGTCAAAATATGGCGCCCAGACGGTCCTATCTTAGTTGAATCGCATTATATAGTCTATCGTAATCTGTAGCCTATATCTGAATCTATGGTGCGGAACAGAATTTCTTTCTGTGTATGCGTCCCTGGAGCCGCCTCGTTGGTGGCAATGTCTCCCTTTATGCCTCCATTACACGTCGACGAATCCGCGCACGTCGACAAATGCTCCAGCAGATGGATCACTACGAATCGACCACGTCTGATGACGCCTGTAGGTCATTCAGTCTGTGTTAATAGGGATGATGACGAATTTTTTCTTCGTTTATCAGGTAGATTGTCAAAAAGTATTGGACACGTATTTTTTCTTTCTTCACATAATATAAACATTGCAGAGATATATTCATTTGAAAAGTCGCATGACGTCACGTTCCATCAAATCTCACCCAGCAGGCCTAAACCAAATTGAAATTTATATTTAATTTGAGTTACCTATACGCATTTAGAGGGTCTTTATTGTGTAGCATTAATAGTTCAAGTGTAAATTGTTTGGAAAGAAATATAAGTGGAAATATCATTAACGATATCGAACTCGTAAAATGGCTATCAGCCGCGTGTATGAAAAACATTAAACATATAAAAATCAACTATTATTCGTTCGTCAAAATTTACGGAATATTGTTATTTTAGTTGGTATTGTATATAATGCGCTTCAAATAAGAATAGGAAAGCCAATGACCTCCATCTGTCAAATGTCGCTTGAAAAGTACGGTTTGCAAAAAAAAATCTAGGAACACTTTTTAGCACTCAGCTGATTCTAGAAAAAAACCAAACATTTTTAAAAAAACAATAACAAATGTTAATAATTAATATTAGTTGATTTTTTTTCATTTATTGAGCTGTGGCTATGAATGGTTGATAACCTAAATCGTCAACCAAATGTCACTTTATGTAGCGTTCAGAAAATCGATTTAAAACTTTCGTTTACTTATAGGATGCATGTTCGTATGTGACCTTCATGATTATTCATAACTTCTCCGGCGGTAATGCAGAGATGAGCGAAATTGAAGAGCTAGATTCTGATTTTTTTTCAGTCTTAATAAAGATATACTATTAAAAATCGGTTGTGTTTTTTCTCAATCTTAGTAAATTAATTTTATTAAAAAATCTGATGTTTTGTCTCACTTAATCTTAGTAAATAAGTTTTATTAAATAGCAACATTTTTTTTGCTCACTCTACCTATTTGGTTTGAATTGACAGCTATGACGTCTAAATATGGCGCCTAGTCGGTCCTATTCTGATTCTTAGTTGAATCGCATTATACCTATTGTATTGTATTTATATCAGAAGTGAGGTCTCCATCCAATATCCTTATTATAAAGAAAACTAGTTTTTACGGGTTATTTATGACGTTTCGTAGCCTTTACAGGCTACGTCGTCAGAATCAACATTGGGGTGCATTAACCCGTAAAAACTAGTTTTATTTAATGAGTGATGTGCGTGAAAACCTAAGAAACAAATATCCTTATTATAACTTATTTTAAAGAAGAAGGCGGCTGTCTAACGGCACCGGCCGGGGAACGGTGCCTATCATTATAGTATTGAGTATTCGATGAAAGAGTTTGGAGTACGGTTGCCAGATTGGCTGGACTTGGCTAGATTGTCCAGCTATTTCACACGTTGTCCAGTGTCCCGGTTTTAGGCAAAATGTCCAGCTAAAATGAATCTGAAAATTAAAAACCACCAGTATTAGTGGTTTTTCCACCGAGTTGGCAACACTGGCTCCGCTGCGGCCTCTTGCTATCTATGCCCGGGATTGAATTCAATAATTCGATTGAACTTTGACGAAACTTGTATTAAATTTAAATCTTTTCTAAATAAAGATAAAGGTTCTAAAATGACAAATGCGGCTAAAGGAAATGCAAAAACCTATGTGGCAGAAAAAGTGATTTCATATTAATTTTGTTTGATTAAGGTTCCTCTGTTTTGTAATAATAAGAATTTTTTATAGTCATGCTGATTTTTTTTATCCAGCCTAAAATCCTAAAGTCCAGATATTTTATAATATTGTCCAGAAATTTTGATTTCTCTATCTGGTAACCCTAGTTTGGAGCCCTATCATTACCATGAGCCATGTTAAAAAAAAACTAGCTGTATTTTTCATAATGATTCCATTATTTGACGACCTCCGTGGCCGAGTGGTTTGTACGCCGGGTTTCATGGCGTCGCCGACTCGAGAGGTCCCGGGTTCGAATCCCGGTGGGGGCAGATGTTTGTGTGATGAACACGAGCATTTGTACACCAGTCATGGATGTTTAATATGTATTTCTATATAAATATACTTATATCATCATCATCATCAGCCTTATTATTGTCCCCACTGCTGGGGCACAGGCCTACCCTATGGATGGAATAGAGAGATTGGGCCATGACCCACCACGCGGGCCCAGTGCGGATTGGTGGGTGCTAACGACTGCAGATGCAGCCGGGACCAACGGCTTAACGTGCCTTCCGAAGCACGGAGGAGCTCGAGATAGTAATTTTTGATCACCCATCCAATGACCGACCACTGCGAAAGTTGCTTAAATTCAACGATCGCAGCCGAACGCGCTAACCACTTGCGCCATCGAGCTCCTCGATATATACTTATATATGTAAAGTATATGTATTCTATCCGTTACCCTGGTATCCCATAGCACAAGCCTTATAGTGCTTACTTTGGGGATAGGCTAATTGGTGTGAGTGTTGGAAATATTTATTATTATTTATTATTATTAATATTGACATGTTTTGGAAAATAAATGGGATTTCCTGGGCTTGATAATGGAAGGGTAATGCTTAATGCATGTTATTTTTGTATGCTTTATCTACAATTTAATTGTTTCTTGCCCTTCGGCGTACAAGTTACACTGAGTCAGTGTTTCCTAACCTTTCCAATACTGCTACCCCTGTAACCTATTAGGAAAACAGATTTTACCCCGACTTTAAAACGTTATCATCAGTTCAAGAAATTCCAATTTGACCGCCACATCTTCGTCTCTAAAGGGGCCCATATACGGAACGATTGATCTGTACGATCCGTCGTTTCAGACCGATCGAAACGATGGATCGACAGTGTATGTCAAGATCGTTAACGATTTACTTAATCGCAGACGATATCGGAGATCGCAACTAAAACCCATGCAATCATGAATATCGTAAACGATCGATCGTCAGTGTCCCATATACGGTACGATTAATCTGTACGATCCGTTGTTTCAGACCGATCGAAACGATGGATCGACAGTGTATGTCAAGATCGTTAACAATTTACTTAATCGAAGACGATATCGGAGATCGCAACAAAAACCCATGCAATCATGAATATCGTAAACGATCGATCGTCAGTGTCCCATATACGGTACGATTAATCTGTACGATCCGTTGTTTCAGACCGATCGAAACGATGGATCGACAGTGTATGTCAAGATCGTTAACAATTTACTTAATCGAAGACGATATCGCAAATCGCAACCAAATCCCATGCAATCATGAATATCGTTCATGCAATCATGAGTTCGTTTTCCATTTTAGAGGGCAAGTATTGAATTATTTGAGTACGTCTTTATACGGTACGGTTAATCTGTACGATCCGTTGTTTCAGACCGATCGAAACGATGGATCGACAGTGTATGTCAAGATCATTAACAATTTACTTAATCTAAGACGATATCGCAAATCGCAACCAAATCCCATGCAATCATGAATATCGTTCATGCAATCATGAGTTCGTTTTCCATTTTAGAGGGCAAGTATTGAATTATTTGAGTACGTCTTTATCCTACCGTTTGAAACAAGTAAATGATAGATCGTTTCGTGTATGTAGTGGCATTTCTGAACGATCGATCGTTGACGATTTCCTTCAGATCGATCGCAACGACGAATCGTTCCGTATATGGGGCCCTTAATAATGTCATCATTATTCCACACTCAGCACCCCGCGGTCTCGCTAGCAAGTAGGAGCGCCTGCTCTATTTAGTAGTATTATTATATAAAACTTTCTTATTATTTAGATTTGATCAAATAATTAGGTTCTTTGTTACCCCCGAATTATGGCTGATTTACCCCCGGAAGGGTAATTACCCCCAGGTTCGGAACCCAGGCACTAAGTGATCATCTGATAAAACTGATAAGCATTTATGAAACTGGTATTATTCATTCAGTATTTTTAGCGACATCCTGGGCAAGATTTTGTTGCTTATTATGAAAGGAAATTTCACATTAATAATGAAACCAAAGTTCTGTCGTGACATTCTTCGCTAACACATGACTAAATTCTTTAATGTTTTCATCCACAAATAATGTGCCTAAGTAATAACTTTTT